GGATCCTTTTCCTCGAGGACCATCCAGAGAGCAGTCAGAGTCATCAGTAAACCATGGCCCACGTCCCCAAACATCACCGCAAACAGGAAGGGGAATGTAATTATGGTGAACAATGCTGCAGGAGCATTGAGAGACGAGATTTAGCCAAAGACAAATACCTGAAAGACTTCACTTTGAACACATTTCATGAAGAAATTATTTATGTCATCTAATGACGCACCTGGATTGACTTCACGGTAGGCTGCCACTCCGTAGGCATCTACAATGTTCTGGAAACCTGTTGTGAAGGAGTTGAGGGGAAACAGAGTAGGTGGAGGTGTAGAGCAAGGCAAGCGGTTGTAGAAGGAGTCAACCCCACTACCGCTTTTCCTCTGAGGTCAGAGAACAGGGTGGGATAAAAACAGGAAATTAGGCGATTTGCTCATCTGTGCTTTTTACAGCTCTATGTTTCTGCTCATCTGTTGTCTCACCCCTCCCTCTCTCAGCGCACTCTGCAGTTCAGGCAGCTTGGCGGTGGGACACCAGGCCTCAGCGATCAGGCATTTGTCAGTGACAGAGGGGCTGCAGAGATTCAGTACTAACTGGATCGCCTTGCATTTCTGGACGCGCACCTTCCACTGGGGCAGAACGGCCACCGCCTTCATCAGCAGCTGCTGCAAGAAGCTTTCTGTCTGTGACAACACCTGAAGTCGCAGAAGGAAACACAAAAAGAGGCATGATGAATGTTCTAGAAGCACTGTAATATAATATCCTATGTAGAAACTATAAAACCAGAGATTACAGTCTTTTAATTATTTTGATGTGAATATGTAGTATCAAAAACCAAAAGAAAATCACTCACTGATTTGATGTCTTCAATTCTACCTTGAAGTCCCTGGAGAACCTCCTCTCTCTCAGCAGAGCTCTCGGGGTATGCAAATGTCTCAGTGCGGAAGCTGCGAGGAGGGAAAATCCAAAGAAATTCAAGTTCAAAACACAGCAAGGTGCAGTTTCAGAATCTCAAAAATAAAAGAAAGAAAAAAAAATCCCCACCAATCGCAGATCTTCTTGACTTTCTGTCCAATCTGATCTCCCCAGAAGGAAATGAGGAACACGGTCCATTGCACCATTTCCCCCTGCAAATGGAGAAAGAGCAAACTGCTGTGGTAAAACACCTGGAATGAAACTCACAGCAGAAACTCTCTGCGATCCCCTCTCCTTTTCCCCGAGCTCTTACAGTGTCAGGGTGCTGAAGTCGATCCTCCATTTCTCTAAAATCCACAATAATGTAACCGCGACACGCCCGCCATAACAGTCGCTCGAACGAGGGCACCTTCCAGGGGTGGACCACTCCTGCCACAAAACTGAGGGAGAGGAAAACTGTTATATAGAGAGGAAAAAGACAACATTTTACTCTTTAACATTTAATTGAGACCTACCTGAGTCGGACATCTTGGCGGTTATCAAACAGACCTTGGCTCTCCACTGCAGGTGGCACCTGTGAGAATAAGACAGAGAACATTCTTTTTTAGTTTTCCTCATGACAACAATTACAGAAAATGGAGCAGAAATGGAGTTTTTCACCACGTGTGACGCCGTGAGAGAGTGAGTTCTGGTCAGGACTCCTTGATACTGGGAGAGCTGCGTCAGCTGAGCCCTAAGGCTATCTCTGTTCCTGGACACCTAGTAGGAAACATACACGATATTCCATTAATCCCAAAAATTGTTCTGTCTCTCGTGGTGCACTAAGCAGAAAACCGAAGACTAACTCCTCAGGCTCTATTTTGGCGCTCACCTCCTTGAGTTCCCTGGCGAGCCTCTCGCTCTCCTCCTCTATGGTGATGAGCTCACGGGGCTGAGGGGCAGAAGGTGTCGGACACGGAGGAGGGAGTGGACCCTTTAAGGATGGCGAGCGATTTATCTCCTGCTCCAAGAAGTCTGGAGGGTGGAAAAGGTGGATGATGAATCATGGAAAATAAAGAAGATGAATGGAAATGTAAAGGGGAGCATTATGAGTCAGTACTCACGGAAAGTCTTCTCGAGATCCTCGCATCGTCTGACCTCGCTGACAAATTTCCTCTGAAAGGAGTTCACGTTGGGGTTTAACTGAAAGCGGAGAGCAGAGAATAAGGTTACTGAGCGAGTCTACATGATCTTCACCAAAACCCATGACGCAGTCTGTTGCAGGTTAACAATTGCACTGGACTCCATGAACTGCACCAAGAAGAAGAAGAACGGAATAAAGGGTTTAATAGACTCACGTCTCTGAACTCAACCAGGCCCAGCTCTCCCAGCTCGCTGACACAATTATAGGCTGAGCCGGACTGAAGAAAGAGCTGCACCAGGCACACCTCCTCGCTGCGAAATATGGAGCCCATGTCTGTACACCAAAGAAACAACTTTACACACACACCGTCCTCTGGATACAGCTGAGTGAAAGTACTGCACCATATAAAGAGGAATATGAATTACAAAAACAAAAAAAAAAAGACAGACAATGGTGTTAGCAGATGGCATCTACTTTCAGTTAGAGCAATAAAAACTACTCAGTGCAGAAGTATCTAAGTGGAAACTTAAGAAAGAGGAAGCATCAGGTCCTCCTGACCAGATGATCAGGTGGGGTTTCCATTGTTGCATGTACATGTGTCTGCCAAAATTAGCACAGGGACTCTTTTTTAGTTAAATAAATTAATCAAAGATGTACATATATATTAAAAAGCATTACTATATTTTAGAAGGGCCCAATAAGGTGCATTATTACTGCTTTCCCCTAGCTACATACAAAGCTGTTTTGTACAAGCGCTCTACAGTAAACCCCCCCTTTATGAAGGTTACAGTGTTTGATCCTTTTTTTAAAAAAGCTTATAGCGCTGGATCATTTTTCAAAGCATTGCGGTGCTCGCACTATAGTCAGACGAACCTCATTCATTTGGAGGAATGAGCGGTGAATTGGAACAGTTTCTTCATAAACTGAGCGTTAAGAGTGTCATGAAGGTGAGAAACCGACCACTAAGAATATATACAAAATTACTTATATCATAAAATAGATGTTACATGAAAGGAGCATGGCTTCAGTTTATAAATGTAAAAAGATCCATGCTGTTAAGGAAAAAGCATTTGACTTCGGGTCTTCTTCGATCTATCGACTATTGTCTCTGCTTTTCAGCTTTTGTTGCCTGGGGCAAAGTTTCGTTTTCTCTATCATCGCTAGCACACAACTCCAGTGAAGGAAAAGCCGAAACACTGAAGCGTTTAAAAAATATTTAACCCATTAATATCAGCCACATTAAAGAAAAGTAACAGAGGGGTTTGGTTTAGTCTCGGCGACAACTATAGGAGATAAACCCGCTTGTTAAAAACACAGATTTGAGCTGAATGTCGGAAACCTCACCTGTCTGGCTCTTTACCTCCGCTGCAGTTCGACCTGGTGTCTGTCAGGCAGTCTGGTACCCAGCGGGACGGACTGACCGGGGACTGCTAACCTGGACAAAGCAGACGCGTCTGCGAGACTTGGGGTAGAAGTTCTCTGGCTCCGCACTTCCTGTTTGTGAGAGTCACGTTACTGCAGGAGGCACGTGATAGTTACCATTTGAATCTCGCTCCACCGCGAGAGGTCGAGATTTTAGGATCTTTAATGGCGGTAACGAGTCCAATAAGTGGATGTTTTTCTTTGTTCTTTTTTATTAGAATTTTAGTCTGACAGGAAGTCAGAAGCTTATTATTAATAATTCACGGTTTGATATTAGAGTTAAGCTCATCTGGAGAAGCTGGTTTGGCCGTGTACAGTCATCTGGAAACCGCAGTCACGTGCGTTTGATAAACCCAGACCTGCCCTGTTTTTTTTTTTTCTCCTAACTTTATTAAATACATACAAACCAAGGTCAGTACCATAATTTGTAGCATGTGATGTCTCCAAAAGATACATGCTAACGTTAGGGACACTATTCAAAGTAAAAGTCAACCATACATTTAAAGTGATTTTTAATTCAGTTCTGTTACATTTAAAGAAACTGAAAAATAGTTCCTTTCTTAGTAGTTTCATTATTATGCAGCAGGCAAAGGAAGAATGTAGAAGTTCACAACAATGAACACTTAAAATTCAACTGAGATGTTGTGTAGGATTTGCGTAGAAATCACAGCCTCTAAGCATGCAGATATGTATCATAGGCGTGAAAACCATGGCCGTTTTGATTTCTTCAAGCTATTCTTTCTCTAGGGTGGAATGATTGTACAGCATAGATCTTTAATGGTTTAAAAAAAAACAAAAAAACAAGAACTCAGTGCACGTTTGAATTTATTGTGGATTTCCTCTAATCCACACACAATCAAGTCTTTTAATTAATTGGTGTTGAAGGTTCTGTCTTTTTACTTGAAAAGGCCAGCGCATATTAACTTCTTGTTCATGTGATCATGAGTTCCTCTTTGCCAACATAAAAGGGATTTGTTATGCAAATGTGTCACTACTTTGTCAGGGGGGGAGGGGGGGGGGTTGCATGTATGTCTGGAGGAAGACCTGAACTGTCACTGTCAGATAAGAGGAAAATGGTTACAATGAAGCATGCCATTAACTGGAAACTGCTGGAACAGGCAGCATCACTGTCCACAGTGAAGTGAGTTTTAGAGTGTTACGTCACGACAGACTGAGGATGCCAGTCAAAAGAAAAAAAAAAAAAAAAGGGTCCTGCTCCAAAATCAAGACCTTCAAGCTCAACTGAAGCTTGTTGATGGATACCTAGATTGTCTGCTCAAGGCAAGCCCTTCTAAGGAAACATTTAACCAAATATCAATGCAAGTACGTAAAAGAGGGTAAAAAACACAAAACAATCCAATCCTCCTTGTATGTGAACCAGTGACCGCGACTGTATCAAAAATAAAGATCACTCTCATTGTTTGGTATAAAGCTCAAACATCAAGAAAGCAATGAGTAAAATGCATTTTGATTTGAAAGGAACTTTATATTTTGGATGTATCTACAAAGTAAAACCATTCTAGCTGAGGACCCCCACAGGGACAGACACTTGTATGGCAATACAAAAGATATTTTATTTAATTGTAAAAGGGCAGATGTGCAACAGGTAAAACAGCAGGTAATAAGAAATACACACCCAGGGGGAAAACAAAAGACAAAAATGTTTAAATGGAATCAATAAAACAGGAAATGAAATGTGGCAAAGGTTTTTCACAGAAGTACATCAATTTCTTACACCTGTTGATCTCACTGTACATGACTGTAGATGTATCTTATCTTACCCTAACGATATTATAATGAAGCTGGTCTACACTAAGAAGCAATAATAGTTTCCAAAGACCCCCTCTCCTTTCATACATACACAAAAAAAAGAAAATACTACAGTAAAATCATAATTGCTGGCAAACAGGAAAGGAACTTAGAGGCTTTTCATGTCATTTTACATCATTTAGATTTCAAACACATAAAGCCAACAAACATGTCGCACTAACCATGCTGCTTCAAATCGCTGACAATCTCACAGATTTCTTCACTGGATATGAGGACTGACTCACTAAAAAAGATGCAAAGTTAGCACAGATTTCTTTTTTTCTTCCTTTTCTGATAATGAATGTGTCGGAGGTAGCGGCAGCTCTGACACAGACTGTTCTTGTCTTAGTTGCCCTCCTCCCCTCATCTTGCATTTCTGCTTTTATTTTTTACAAACTGTAAAATTTGAGGCTTCTGTCCATTGCTGTAGAAGTCAGGAACCGGGCATTCTCTCCAAAGGCCACCCCAGTCACCAATCCTGTATGGTCTATGGTTGAAAAGAAAAAGATCAGGGGTAAATGTCACGTGCATACTAGTTGAAAATCTCGAAAGAGATTTGACTTTTTTTTTTTTTGTCTTCTTACCGGTGAAGTTGAGGACCTCAGACCACTGCTTGCAGATGTAGACACGGATGTCAGACCCTCCTACAGCCAGGTAGGTACCACTCTGATCAAACACAAGGGACTTCACCTGAAACAAAAAATGAATGGATTAGGTTCAGAAGCAAACCTAAGATGGGTTGGATAACTTCAAAGCTGGTCCACAGTGAAACGCTGGAGTTCGGCTTAGTAAAAATAAAGAGAGCGCAGTGAAAAACTGATAATCTGGTTCTTTCTGAAGTTAAAACAATCCACCCACCAGCACCCTGACAATTATACATGCAACTTTTCATCCACAGCCATTTATCTCTGCGTGCAATGACAGCCTACAGGTGATGCTAAGACTATTTCTCAAACACTTAAAAAATTCCTTTAGAAAGAAGAAATCCCAAATTTCTTACCTCATAGTTGTTGTCCAGAGTAATGGTCTTGAAGTTCTTCAGCTTCCTCAAATCCCACAGTTTCAGAGAGCTGTCCTGGGCACCTGGAGCAAACGAGGATAATTAAGTTAATTTTTTTCTATTGGCACACCATTTTTATTCTTGCAAGGCTGAAGACACGGGGAAATCTCCAAAACTATGCAAGTCATTGATGCACAAGTCACTTTTGATACTCTAAAGAAAATGTTCATGTAGCTCTACAAGTTTATGCACATTACAGACTGACGGCTAATCTACGCAAAAAATGCTATCAAGTCAGTCTCACCTGTGGCCAGATAGTATCCGTTCTCAGAGAAAGCAATGGAGGTCACAGGTCCAGAGTGACCGGGGAAGTTGGCCACGTTGGTGCGCTCCTTCAGATCCCAAATCTTAATCTGGGAGTCCGCAGTACCAGTGCCAAAAATGAGACCATCAGGGTGGAACTGAGCGCATGTGAGAGCTGAGGGGTGCAATCAGAAACATTATGCCTGGAAGAGGACTGTTATTATGACTATCAAACGCATTAAGCAAGCAAAGAGAAACTTACCACAGCCAGCACTTTCATCAGTAACTTTGGTGAGGACTCTGCCCGTCTGGATATCAGAAAAGGCCCAGTACTGCAGGATAAAAGTAATAAGAGTTAGAGCGGTGAAGCAGTTTAATGGCAAAAAGGTCGATCATTCAGTGATTAAGTTCATGGCCTGTCGGTAATTTCAAGCACGCACCTGATCCTCAGAGGAGCTGAGCAGGTAGTCTCCAGTAGCATGAAGAGAGAGACCAGTGACGCCTCCCTCGTGAGCACGCACCACCTGCACACAGTTGCCCCCGGTGACAGACCACACACGGATGGTGGTGTCTGGAGAGGCGGAGAAGACCACGGACTAGAAGAGAAAAGACGGCAAGCGAGTGAGGAACAACGGATTAAAGGAACAATCGTGTTAGTCACATCTCCATTAAAATGGAGGTGAATGTTTGCATTTAGGTTCTCAGAGGACATGTTACCTGAGATGGGTGGTAAATGACAGAGGTAACCTTCTTGGTGTGACCCTTAAGCGTTGCCACGATCTGCTCTTCGTTCTTGTCAAACACCACCACGTTCTTATCAGCTCCACCTGGGAGATAGAACAGGTTTAATATCAGATTCTTTGTCTGGCATCCCAGCAAATGAAATACAGAATGAAAGATTGATTCAGTGTACCGGTGAGCACTTTGTTGGTGTCTGAGGGACACAGATCCAGAGACAGAATACCCGGCACACTGGCACTATGAAGACCCTGAAAGCAACATAAGAGAGAATGTTGATACATTGGATCGCTCTGTGAAACAAACGCATCCTCGTGATCCTGCACAATCTATACTTACAGCATGGGAGGCCACTTGGCGGTATTTGCCAAGATCCTCGGCTCTAACCAGATCCTCTGGGACAGTTTTGCCTCTCTGTAGAGAACCACAGTAAAGCAATTAAATGAGAGCGAGAGTAAATTATGCACAAACAGAGCTTGTGGCAAAACAAGTAAAACAAGTGTTTGCACATTAGCAGCTAAATACAAGAGAAATATAATACCTTCTTTCTCTCTGTAGTGAGGATAGTAGCCTTGTCTTGGAGCTGCAAACAGAAAAAAGCACATTTAAAAACATCAAGCAATTATGACAAAGGTCATAATGGTAAAAAATAATCAATTAAAAAAAAAAAAATCAATATTACCTTCTGGATGATTTCTGGAGTCATTCCCACTTGTTCACTAATCTCCATAGGCTCTCCACCAGCCCCCTGGTGTAAAAAAGGCAGAATTAAATATTGTTTAAATGGCATGATTTGTCAGTCTGATCATTGTCTTATCAGCTGAAAATAAAGCCCAGCTACTCACTGCTGCAGCTGGCTGAGAGGCGGGCACTGCCTGAGGGGCAACCAATCCGGCCTGGGGTTTGAGCGTGGCAAGAGCTGTGGAAAGAAGAAATCAACTCATTAAAATAAATAAAACACACACATAATATCAATGAATCCAGGTTCATTTGGACCAGACGATCACATTAAAGCCATTTCTACATGTTTCATAACTGTGTAGAAACCCAAACTGCTGTCGACCCACCTTCTCTTGCAGCTGTGACCTCTTTGGTGAGTCGAGCAATGACTCTGCAGGCGGCATCGTGCTGATAGAGGGCGTGTGAAAGTTCTTGGCGAGTAGTCTGCAGCTGCTGCCGCAAGGTGAAACTATGAAGCATTACAGCATCCTAGAACAGATATCAAAAACAAAAAGTGAGAAGGGAGCACATGTATTATTTCACGAATTTTAAAAAAGGAAGATAAACAAAAACAAACAAACAAAATAAACCCAAAACAACTGTCCTGTTGTTAAAAACTGCCAGAGAGGGATAAATGGTGCACTGTAACACACTTTTAATTGTTAAACTATGTAACACCCTACAGATTGATTTTACTTCTACATATTTATAACTAATTTGGGGCAACCGTGGCTCAGGGGGTTGGGAAACGGATCTGTAACCAGAAGGTCGTCGGTTCGAGCCCCGGGCTCTCTGTCCTGGTCGTTGTGTCCTTGGGCAAGACACTTTACCCTACTGCCTACTGGTGTTGGCCAGAGGGGCCGAAGGCGTGATATGGCAGCCTCGCTTCTGTCAGTCTGCCCCAGGGCAGCTGTGGCTACAACTGTAGCTGCCTCCACCAGTGTGTGAATGTGAGAGTGAATCAATAGTGGAATTGTAAAGCGCTTTGGGTGCCTTGAAAAGCGCTATATAAATCCAATCCATTATTATTATTATTAATTTATATTGATTGATTAATAGCTGACTCCCTACTTGTTTAAAGGTTCTTAAATGTTGTGTGTGTGTAATGTGTTGTTGATGTAGTGTTAAACATTAATAAGAAAAATCAATTTAAAAACAAAATGATACATACAATAGATACAGTATAAAGTGCTCTGTTCTTTGATATCTCAGAGTTTACAGGACTTACCCATTCATCTTGAAGGGACTTGAGAATGGCAGGAATACTGGTTGCCGATGGTGCCTTTGGTCTAATAGGATGAGCCACTAAAAGACAGGAAACCTCTTCAGTAACTTATCATGGCTTATTTGCAATGAGATTTGAGTATTTAAGGGCATATGACGCACTGATTTTCTTTTCATATATAAATCTTGATAATGTTCTATGTTTCTATGAATATCACAAAGAGTAGTTCACGAACACCAATCGAGGTTTGCTTCACCCCTGAAGGCCACACAAATAAAATTAAAACGTAGAATATTCTGCTTCTTCTGAAGTTGAAAATAAAAGTTGCTTTGTTTGGAAGGTTTTATTTTTCCGCTTCACTTGAATTTTTCAGGTATTGTTTGGTTTTTTTATATGATAAATACAATACAGTACAATGCAACACGCCTGCAAACTTCAGCCTACTAAACCAAAGCCGAGCATCATGCCACTGATAACGACCTCTCTCACGGAAGTAGCATTACTCTGTATGAGCTTTATTACGGTCTATTGACTTATAGAAAACACCCAGAAACCCACCTTTGATGTCTACGAGCTGCTCCTCGGACAGCGGCTGTCCGTTCATCGGGTCCGTCCCATTCTCTGCGATGTACTTCTCGATCAGCCTCCGTTCAAACACCTGGTTGGACACCGGAGAGACGCACGGGTGCTCTGGCACTTCATTAGAAACTGTAAAAGAGTTCAGTTCCGGCTTTTTAACACCACATAACTACCAGCAATTTAAATAAACACACAATTAAAAAAGAGAGCTCGCTGAACTATATAAAAGCAGAAGGCGGTGCTGCATGGCCGCTAACGCTAGCTAAATCAGCTAGCAGCATTAGCGCGGTACCGTGCTAACCGGCCTCCGTCATATCAATGAATTCAGCTTCACCTACTTGCACAAACCAAAGCCATGTTCCAGGCGGAGTCCTACAAGTCTCGTCTTAATTGTGATTTATGCTCGCGCTTTACTTTAAAGTTGTTGCAGCTAAGGTAGACTTTACTTCTGTTTGGAAGTAGCACGCTGTCCTTTCATTGCCGCTACAACGAAGATTCTTCTTCTACGCTTTGAGTTAGCTTCAATGTCCCAAACTCTGCCACCTATCGTCATGCGCTGAGGAGAACGAGAACGAGTTTTAGCCAAATAGACGCTCACGACACAAGAGTCAGAATCAGCTTTATTTATCAAGTATGTGTACACATACAAGGAGTTTTTGCACTCAGTGTACATGACAGAGTCGCCAACGTACAAACAGAGTAACAACATGACACCAACACGGCACAGACAATAATACATTTATGGCATATTTATAGTCCAAAGTTGCAGAGTGCAAATCTGTTGGAATAAATAAGAGATGGACAGCTAGTTAGTATATATACAGTATACCCATGAGGATTGACTATAAATATATATACGGCATATAGCTATGTACAACAGGACCGAACAGTATAATACAGTATGCTTTGATTCAGCATCAGGTATGGTGGATGTTTTAAATACAGAGACTATGTGAGTGTCCTAAATGTTTATCAGAGTGATGGCCTGTGGAAAGGAACTGTACAGATGGCTGCTTTTTTGGGCAAACGGTGCTCTGTAGCACCTACCAGAGGGTATGGAGTGATATTGCCTGCTTGTGTCCTGACTCTGGATTTGTTTTTCCTGCAGACTTCACTGTCCATCGTAGTCTGTTCTTGTCCTGCATGGATGCTGATCCAAATAATACCGACATGAGTGAGCAGAGAACAAACTGTATTATTGCAGAGTTGAATAGATCATCACCTCCTGAGGCAGGTTGAACCTCCTGAGCTGGCGCAGGCTCTGCTCTGCCTTTTTGATAATAGTGTCTATACTGAGTGACCACTTTAGATCTTGGCAAGCAAGCATAATGGAGAGGGACTCCTCAACTCCACTGTTACTGCTACAGTTTTGAGCGTATTCAGCTCTAGGCTGATCTGACTGCCCCACAGGGCCAGCTGTTCAACCCCACATCTGTGTCCTTGATAAGGCTGACTTCAGACCGTCATCAAACATCACAATTCTGACTGACAGGTCTTTTGAGAAACAGTCATTTGCGTAGAGGGAGAAGAGCAAAGAGAAGAGGACCACCCCTGGGTGGCCAATATACATACAGTGTAAAGACGACATCATCTAAAATGTGTTTTTTAAAGATTTTATTTTTTATTTTTTTAGTGATGACATTTTGACATTATGAAAATATTACAAGCTTTGGGGATAAAAGGTTATCCTGCACACAACATTCAAATATTAACTGCATTATTTGGTGAAACATGTCACATAACTATTATAAGTAGAATTACCCCAAAGATTTAATACACTGCATAAATTGTTAAAAATGCAGACGAGCTATTTAGAATAATAATTAGGTATGGACAACATGATGGGTGAGAACTTAAGTTAAGTCTATATTGCTGTACAGTATTGAAAAATGAAATTTATCAAACGTTACCACAACAACTGGTGGGTAGCCCTAGAGACTGTCTTAAACACAGGAGCAGTGCAGATCATATTGGTCCTGAGGGTCCGGAGGTAGGTAACGGCAGGAGATTTCAGGAGCACCATCAGGCAGTACAATATGAGACAGGAAGGATTATGCTGAACTCATGCTTCAGAAAAATTACATCACAAAGCAAACTATTAAAACCGTGCATAAGGCACAGGTGAGGTTCTTCTTCTCGGTCAGGAGCTTCACCGTTTGTGTGATTTCTCCATGTTCTCTGTTTTATGAAAAGTTCAGATTCTTTGACGTGTAAATACTGCAGGACTCAGAGGTTTCTGTGTCTAGTGGCAGCGTGGAAAAGAAGTCTTGTGATTTGTTCCCCCTTCCCTTATCTCCATCCTTTTTGATTTGGAACTGAACGCAGTCCTCGGATGAGTGGAGGCAGTCTGAAGCTCCGGGCACAGGGAAGGAAATCCTGTCCTCGTCCTCATTAGATTTAGCCTGCTAACAAGGGATGAAGACACAAGTTTAAGCAAATATCATAATAATCTGTGGCATCTAAATATTCACAGCTGGAGAGCTGTATTACCTCAACAGTTAAGTTATGACTAGGGGAACTCCCAGCTGTTGCTCTGTGCACATCCTGGTTCTCGGCTCTTGGAGACCCTACCGTTACCGGAGCATAACCCTAGAAATACAAACAACAACAGATATGCACAAAGACACAATTCAATTGAATGATTTTAGCTCCCTTAATAAAGAAGAAGATTATATTAGTTAATCAGTCTTACAGTGTGAACAGGACTGGCTCTTGGGGTCCATTTTCTTGGTGTTCCAGTCTGCTGAGAGTAGCTGTAGTGACCTGGGGGCTGAGGAGAGGGGGGACTGTAGTGCTGCAAAAAAAACCAAAAAACCCCACAAACATAAATAAACCAATAACAACAAAGACCTAGTGACTCATCCGACTCACAGACCATCACAATTCACCGGTTACTGCTCGTAAAAACAATAAATGTGACCTTTAGTGATCATCGTGGACCGGTGTGTCTTTTAAATGTTTAGCCGTGATATCAGGTTGCTCCTTGCTAGTGATGTGTGTGGCATCATCACGCTGACATCTACAGAGCTTCAGTCAAAATACTTCGGACAGAATATATAAAAATATCTACAAATTATCTGAAATAAAACATACCCACTGAATAAAGAGCTTCTACCATAAGTTTTTTTCTCCATACTTTTTAAAGATACTTCAGTTCATCAGACTCTCTGGAGCAAAAAAGAAATGTCAAAAAACGTCAACAAGTGGCTTCTGTCGGTGTCAAAGTGCATGCATCTGCAATAAGATTGGCTCGACGGCTTGTAATCATTTATTTAGCTGTGGACTCTCCTGGTTTCCTCACCTGGATGTTGACCCTCGGGGGGTTGGCTGGCAGCGTGCGGTGTGTTCTAAAGCACGTGATGAGTTGGGAGAGGCTACAGTTTGGGTAGCGTTTCATGAACAGGATGAAACCAGCCAGGGACACGAACATGCCAGAAGGGACAGTAACGGATTTGAGGAGCGCTCGCCAACTCCCTCCCCTTTTGTCTGAGAAGATGGCAGACACATGGATTTTAGGAGGAGTGGCAACTATGGATCAAACAACTTCTGCATGCTTCCAAAAACGTGGCAGAATACCCACTGATCACGTGCAAGTAGGTGGAGGATACCAGGTTGCCATTCCTGTCTTTAACTTCATACAGCCCATCATGCCTTGAGGTCAGCCTTGCAATGACCACCTCGTAGATGGAGCCATTCCTACTCAGTGAGATGATACCCCTGTAGTGCAGGTCATGGTCCGTTATCTGCCCCTCACGGATGAGCTGCACAGGGCCACGTGCAGGTTTGGGGTCAAAGGGGCCCAGGGAGGATTCATCAGGAAAATGGCCAGGGGTAAAAATGAGATGGGCATGAGCAAGAGGAAGATATAGAGGCAGGATTATGGACTCTTTGGTAAAGCGTGTGATGTTGAAGGAATGCCCTGCATCCATCCATGTGTAAAATCATGAAAAATGGAGTAGTGGTGAATGTGGAAGTATGAGAGGGCATCAGATAGAAAGGGAAGGATAAAACAAAACCATTAGCACTGTAAAGTCACAAAGTTAAAGGTAGTCAGTCAGCTTCTTAAAACCCACGTTTCTGCTCTGCTCACCACGGACGGTGAGGGTGCTGCGACCCAGCACCTTCCCGTTGTCGTCTCTCACGGTGTAGTTGCCTTGGTCTGCTTGCGTCACTCTCTCCGCCACCCAGACCTTCCCCCCTCTTAGCAGCCGCCCCCGGCCAGCGTTACCGGTTTCGGGGTCTGTCCGGTTCCAAAGCACGACCGGCACAGCCTCAGGCGGAGCGCCCCGGTGAGAGAACTCCAGCAGGGAGCCATTTTCGGGGATGCTGTGCTCAAAGGTCTCCCCATAGTTTCTGCGGTAGGGTTTAATGCATTCTGAAGGAAGACGAAGAACCACGAGGTAAGGTGAAAAGGAAAGTGATATTGCAAAAGACCCACTCCTAACACACATCAGTGTACTGTAAATGATCACAAATCAAAACGAAAAGAAAAGTGATAATATATCTTTCTTTATGATACTTTGATGAGTACATTTTCCTGACATTACTTGTGTAGGGACCATTCGTAGGCTATGCATGTTTACGGCAGTGTTCAGCTGCAGGAGAGGTGGGAAAGATTGGTTCAGGGGGCAGTGGCAGGTAAAGTAATGCCACACCTGCTGTATATTTATACCAATTAACCTCTCCTCTTTTTATGCAGCAGGGGTGTGGCTGGCAAACGTTATATACACACACACAAACACACCTGACACGGAGTCAGAACAGTTGCTACAACTTCTCTGCTTTAAGGCAATGAATAGATTGCCTATGTGACATCAAAGCATATGTTATTAAATAACTTAATGTTTCAAGCAAAGAGAGGCAGATCATTGAAAAATTATGGCTCTTTTGCATCATGACACAAAGCAATGAATTTCGCCAAAGAGAGGCAACTGTCATACCCGAAACGATCAGACGGACAGTCTCGTAGGTGAAGCCCATGGACAGCTTGTTGGCATAAACTCCCTGGTCAGCATGACTCACTTCTTTCAGGACTAACGACTTATCTTTGGTCCACTCAAACCGTGGGTCCTTAACCTACAGTTGCATGGCAGATCCATTTTTAGGCAACACAGCAACCAAACACACACACACGCACACACACAAAAAAAACCCAAGTGCCAACACTCGTCCACTCACAGTGGTTTTCTCCAGCAGGATGCGTTTCAGCCCGTCGGGATACGGTGTAAAAGTCACGATTCGCGACGTTGAGTCCACCGGTAGACGAAACTCCTTCCCGACGCAAACAGTCTGAACTTTTTCTCGGTCACCTGTCGAGGTGCAAATGAAAGTCAGCAACATCATTGGAGACCATGTGCTGCAGTAGAAGGATGCATGAGCGGTAAAATGTGACTTTTGACTCACCTAGTAATTCCCAACCTGCAGGAAAAGTACGAGTAACATAATTAATAATTTTCTTCAGACCTCAGATACGGACTGTAAACTCTCCTACATAAGTAAAAGGTTGACCTACTTTTATGTTATTAGGTCATTTAAGGTCATCTATTTTGTAACAGATTTCTAGAGTCTGCTATGTGATTTAACTTTTAAGCTCTTTAATTCAGCATATGTACACTTTTATTAATTGTTACTGTTCACGTACTGACTTTATACTGCATATTTTTCCACTGCATTTCCTCTGGGCACCTCTCACATTTATTATAGTTTTGCATGTTGGAAATTTATATTTGTGAGAATTATATTTCAGAGTTGAAGTGCTAAAAAACAAAAATCTCTGCTCTTCAAATCTGGGCTGGCCATTCTTCTTTGCCTTTGTTTTATTTAATCCAAGACCCTTTAATGAAATGGCTTTCTAGAAACATTCTGCAGATAATGGTGACGTTCTCGACAAATGTATTAATTAGTCACTTTTTTAAATAGTAACATTGACTTCACTTTTACTACGAATAACCTAACCGTAATATAAAGCACCAGTAAGTGCATTATTAATAATTATTTAAGCAGAAAGAAACAGAAAAACTACGGGTAGTCTTATTAAAAACTGGTGCCACACTTACCCAGTGCAAAAGGAAGGGTGAAAAGTGCAGTGTAGAGGACGCAGGAGGACATCTTCTCCTGTAAAAGACAGCGGATTGTTTCATCTGTAAATGTAATTGACATTCACACCAACCCTCCTCCGAAAACAAGCGGCCAGACGGGACATCCGATCATTAATCAACAAGCTGCAAAAGGCGGGGAGCTCAGCGACAGCCCAAATGATGTCGATGCGGACTCAGCGCACTGCACACACTCATGTCCCCCCATGACGTCCTGTCCGCTCTTTGAAGTCATGTCCACTCAGGTGTCCAGCATGTTTCCCATCTTCTGAACCATTGTAGCGCTACTACTGGCTGCCGGGTCATCAGTTACCGATCATCAACAAACGATTACTCAGTTTGTGCGTAATGTGAACTCACCTGCAGGATGTGAGGGTAATTTAAAAAAAAATGTTTTTGTGGATGAGGATAAGAGGATAACGACGACCTCCGCAGAGCGCGCATGCCCACTGCTCCCCCTTCTGTTATGGCGAGGGATACGTCGTATTCTCGGCCGCTGATACGCAAAGTGCGTCACATTTCGCAGTTCTTGTAAGGGAACATATTTTCCCTCCCTCTTACTATGCTGCTAGATTTTAGACTTCTGTAGTAACTCGTCAGATTCTGACTGTACGTGCAAATGATGAGATGATCTTAGAAAATATAAGAGATCATAACGCGACATGGAACACCTCTCACTTAAATTTTCCTTCTTGTTAAAAAATTAACAAAAGTTAATTAACAAAATTAACTTGTTAGTTTCTACAGTGAGGGAAAATTACTTGATCTCCAGCTCCCCAGAAATAAAGAGTCTCTAGATTTGATGGTAGTTTCATTTTAATGGGAGAGACAGAATATGGACCAAAAAGCCAGGAAAAAACACATTACATAAAAATAATAAATTGATTTCATGTCATTGAGTGAAATAAGTGTTTTATCCCCAGGAACGACATAAGCAAGTTCTTTGTGGAGAAACCCTTGTTGGCAAGCGCAGCAGATGTTTCTTGTAGTTGGTCACCACGTTTGGACTCATCTCTTTTACTCCTTTTTACAGAAACGCTCTATTGATTTTCTATGGCAGGAATGTCAAACTCTTATTACACCATATTACACATACAGCCTACTTTGATCTTAAGTAGGTAGACAACATCCCTCAGATTTCTCAATATAAGAAGTCCAATTTCATTGATACATCTTAGTTTTACTACATGATAAAGACATTTTGTTCTATTTTAATATATAGAAATCAATAGAAATCTATAGAAATCACCCAGCACAACTCTTCTGGCTTAAATGATAAGAAATAAATGTAAAATTACAAAACTGATTTATCTGTGTGCCACATGGGCACACCTGACGTTTGTCTCTCTCCGTTGAAATGAAACAAACATAAAAATTAGAGACTGTTCGTGTCTTTGTAAATGAGCAAACTTGCTGTTTCAGGAGTGTAGGGTGTGTGGTTTATCTTTATTTGGGGAGGTTTACATGAGATAAGTGTCACATGAGATAAGTAAAGTCCTTAACAGTGCACATGCTGACACTTTAAATATGTTTTAGTATAGGTTATATACATGATTAAAATAAAGCAGGTTTTATGGTGCCGGACCAGTTATTTCCCAGTGTTTTTAACGTCTTGACTGCGATTCCTTTAGAATTCATTCCTACTGAATTCACTTGAAATGGGACGGCAGCCAACAAAACGGTGCAAAAAGTTGTATTTTTTATCCCCTTTAAACTGCTTTTATTTATGATATGGTGGTTTTAAAAGCGATCTTGGAGGCAGAAACAACACAAATGCCTGGTTTGTTATTGAAAAGTATCCTGGGAGATGGGCCCTGTATGCAGTTACAGTGGGAGAGGTGGAGCCTAAGCCACGCCCAGTCCTTCTTTTCTCCACCCAGCAGCTGCAGGACGCACAGAACTCAATCACACAAAAGAAGTACGGTCTCATCATTCTTTTTCTGTTTGTCCACAACTTCTTCTTAGTCAGGCTTTTTAATACTGAACATCACCTGTGTCACTGATTTGCTATTTTCGGGGTTAATTTTTGTGTGTTATCCGAACATTTCATTATAGAAGGGAATGCGGTACGGATTTGGTCTTGGAAGCTGAGGGAAAAAACACTCAGAAAAAAGAGCCTCAAGTCACCTCTCTGCTCTTTTTCTGCAGGACATGTCGCTTGTGTTTTTGATGTTTTCCATTGTCTTCTTCGGTGAGTAGAGCTCATTCCCACATTCTAACATATAAACATCTGAAATCTGAAATACAACGCTCGATGGTTTGGGATTATTTACAACAAACGTTAATTAATTTCCATGCCACACACTCCGTGGATACAGCATGTACAAAGTTATCCAATCTCTCCGTGGAGCCAGGTGTTAAGTGGCACTCTGCCGGAGCGAATTAAAGTGCGTGCATGTTGTAGTAAAAGACGTTTGGTGTTGTGGGGCTGCTGTAGACTAATGCAATTTAAATCAGTAGCAGAACACAGGAAGAACAATACGCATTGTCTCCACACCCATCTGCTATTCCCAGAATTAGTGCTTGGTGCATTTCATTTATCAATAAATTATTTGGGAAACATAAACACCTATCAACGTACATCCACCCATAAATAAAAATAAATAAATAAGCAAGCATATTGTTTTTTTTTATTGTTTTTCGAAAGAAAACAAAACAATAATCTGATTAATTTCATTGAAATATAAATATACAGTTACATATTTATGTGTTTTAAACTATTCACGGTATTTATGCATTGTCATTAATGTCTTTAGCCGCAAAGTGAAAGGAAATGTTTACACGACGGAAACCAGAAAATTCAGCACAGCCGAGATTTCTTTCCGTTAGCTGGTTTGACAAAACATATAACCTCAGTCAGAGATAACGGGTAGCACGACGGTGGCAATCAACTTTTTCTTATTCTTTATTTGTCTTCTGCTTCCGGTGTTGTGCCAACTACTTTGGCACAACACCGGCTCTGTGAGCGCTCACACGTAAATATGGGCGTTTTGCAGCGTCACGTGACTCATCGTCCGCATGCGATAATCCCCTAAGAGTGGCGCTTAAAATGGTCATTTATAATATTTATTCAAAGAAAAAACATATCATATCCATTCAAGTTAATCACGTTATCACTGCTGTTTAAGGTAACAGCTGCAGATTAGAGCTCTGAAACTTTAAACTGGATCTATTTAAACGTTAAAGGCCATTGTCCAATATCCGAATAGGCAGCGTTTCTGCCGAATGGCAGTTTGTCAGCAGATCAAAGTGTAATTATTTTATTGGTTGTCTTGATGCATGCTCAATCATCCAGATAAGGACATCCCAAAAAGTTAATCCTGTGTCTAGATGAACAGAGTCAACTTTTTGGTATTTCATTAGTTGAAACGGTGTTCATGGTTTATGTTCAATGTTCATGGAGCTGCAATTCCAGCAGTGCTAAAGAAACTTAGCAACAGATTAAAACCACGTATTGCTATATATAACAATACGTGGTTTTAATCTGTTGCTAAAATTTTTTTATACTTTTTATATCGAATTGATTAATTATATGTGCACATTCCTGTACACTCTGTGCTTCATTCATTGGTTTTTAATAAGGTTTCGCTTAACAGCTAAACATGCTGTAAATAAAAGAATCAGTGAACACGTTGCGTTTCTGGAGGATTTAAATTAAAACCTGACCTGCTCCCTAGCGGTTTTTGATACGGGCGAAACGGGCGGCTGCCCAGGGCGGCATCGTGGTGGGGGGCGGCATCACGGGCATCGGCAAAAAATAAAAAAAATGCTCGTACTCATGCTGCCCCGACATCAGCCAGCGCATATTGGGAATGGCATAGGCACCGATCGGTTTTCTATCGCCCATTTCCTGGGAGTAAGGGCGCCCTCCGTTTGCGAGGTGCGCCTGCTGTTTACGGCACAGAGAGGAGAGGGCGGGGGATTCTCTGGCTGGCTGAAGCAGCATCTAATAACCAACTCGCAAAATAAAACAAAATAAAAACTAAACAACAAACACGAAAACACCAGACATTACAGACTTATAATTTGCACCGATGTTTTTTACGCGAAAAGTGAGCGCAGGAGCGCCTGCTTGTAGCTGTGCTGAAGTCAAAGTAAACTTTATTGTCATCTCCGCTATATACAGTCCAGTATATAGAGAGACGAGACGACGAGGCTCCAGTTACCGCGGTGCAAGTAAACAAACAGGGAGTGTTCACCCCGGGCGCCAAACAGGCCAGGACCGCCACCAGCATAAATGACCACAGTGACTCTTACTTTGAGCTTAGCCATCTCAGCATAGCTGGTCAAGCCATAGATCTGGCTTCATTAATACACCTCGCTGTTTGTAATGTATGGGTTTGAGTTAATGGCTCAGTAGTGCTGATATCTAAAAGTGGCCAGTTGCTGTTCTAAGATGGTCAGCCATTGCTGATTTGAGAATAGCGGCTGATGAAGTGAGTGCATCAGAGACTTTGTCTCTTTGCATCAGAGACTTTGTCTCCAAACGGTTCAACCTGATTGGTCCAATCAGGTTGAACCGTTTGGAGACAAAGTTACAGGCAAGGCAGAAATGGTTTAATGGTTTGGAGCTGCTGTGGTGACTGAGCTGAAAAGAGGGTAATTTACTGATGTGAGATGTTGTTCATGTATTTCCTTCATTCAGCTAATAATAACTTGGTTTATTTCTGATGCTTTATGACGAATGTGAGTTAATTCATCAGATTGAGAGTTATACTTTACTCTGCCTCGTGCTTTGGGGATGAGAATGCTTTTTTTATGCTGCTGCATTTGTGTAAATTCAGTGATGTTCCAGAACCTTGTCTTCAAAATTACTTTCAGAGTGTAACAAAATACCGGTATGTGTGTGTGTGTGTTTGGTATATTAATGGAAACAACTGATATTATGTTGTCAGATGTTTGTGGTTTCAGTTACATTAACACTACCTCCATCTGTCTCTTCTTCTCTTGCATCTTTTTGATTAAAGGTTCGTCCTCTGGTATACAAACTGATGAGGTGTGCTATGGCAGGAGGTGGCAGTTTCCATCTAATTATATACCCTCACGTTATACTGGACCAATATACTTTACTGAAACTAATACGGGATCCAAAAAAGTTGTTATAAATAATGGGATGGTGAGCAGCCTCTATGTGACCATTACATTTCTGCAATATGATAAATGTTAGGCCTATGTTTGAAACAATTAAATCAAAGTATATAGAATATGTTATAATCTGAGGAATATATATGTGCTGTCTATCTTTCAGGCAATAGACACACGCTTTAGAGTCTCTCCTGGCTCAATTTATCTTACAGATGTAGAAAAAAGAGATGAAGGAATTTATTCTGTCTCATCTGGTGGCTACCAGCGACAAGATGTTGTTGAACTGAAAGTCTTGGGTAAGAATTTGAACTGTACTGTATATTTAGATCAAAAATATATAGGTATGTGTTTTAGCTACCTGTTCCTAAGCACAAGTTCCCTCCTTTTTTTTTCTTAATCTGCATTTTAAGAATGTGCTAAAAATGTCACAAGGGATTACTACTATACGTGGGAGGACTCTATCCCTAGATGGGCTGAAATCCTGGAGTTTACTCCCCTTCACAGTCCGGACCAGCCAAAGATCCTGTGGAATCGCACAGACTCTCAGATCAGAGAAAGCAGAGCTGAGGTGAAAAACGGTAATTGGCAGCTGTCTTACCTCACTCAGGCAGACAGTGGGTACTACAACTTCATGGATAAGAACCACTCTGTGTTGGCCAAGGTGCTGCTCAAAGTAAAAGGTGATGTGAGAAGCTGCCTGTGAGATTTCTGCATTTTACCAGATTAAATGTTCTAATGAAGTCTGATCTGTGTCACTAACAGAACAAACCAGACACTATGAAACAAGGTGGAATGAGCACATTCTCATTGAATACCCTCGGGGTCCTAAGAAGTGGACCGTGACTTTTACACCTGAAGGCCAAATGGATCCCGAAACACTGATGGATGGCAGTCTGATCATAAAAGATCATCGCTTTTCTGGCAGAATTCATGCAGTGATGGATGGCATAATTATAAATTCTACAGAAATTAGAGACTCTGGCACCTTTGAGTTCAGAGACCCAGATGGCAACCTGATCTTGAGTGCTCGGCTTGAAGTGACCCCTGGTAAGCAACAGAGCATTTCTCCTCATAGAGTAGAAGTTCTAACTAACATTAACCCCCACCCTCTACACCATATTCCCTAACTTTCTCCATACTCTTACAGAAATGTTGCCACAGTTTATATTTATGGCCGTTATTGCCTTGATTGTCGTCGGGATCATCTGCTGTTGCTGTTGTTGTAAAAAGTGCTGTAAAAGGGACAAGTCTGCTCCTCAGACTGCAGCCTCACCTGCATCTGCTGTATATTATCATGTAAGTATTCTTTTAAGTGGAAATTAAGACCAGCTGTGTTAATATTTGATGTTCTTATTTTAAATTTTTAAAATTCTTATTCCAATTACAGATTGAGAATCAACCTGCGTGCCCAAGTTACTCACATCCTTCAGCTTTGTCTTATCAGCCTGTGAATTCTCATATTTCTACACAACCTTCAGCTACCTCCTCTGAGCCACTGGTAGGTGTAAAGCTTGATTTATATTCAAGGCAAAGATAAAAGAGAGGTGAAAGGAACTCAGCCACTTTTGTTGTTTTAAAAAGAAATAGTAGTTATTTGTGGATTGGGGCACTAAGTCTTTATCTCGTCTGGGACTGCCTGGCAACTCACATTAGCGCTCATCCTCTTTCCTCTTCTGACTCATGTGCTTTTTCCTAACTTCACAGTTGTACCACAAAGTGAATATCCATGAGAACCCCGCTCAGCCTGAGGTACATACACACAAACAAACATACAAAAATCCCCATGAATGCATAAAACTAAGAACAGAAATGTCCTCATTCAGTGGCATTTTTGGCCTGTCAGTGACTGATTCATTTTACCCACTGTGCTTATGCACCTTTTTTCATTTTACCGATGTCTCCAGGTTTCAGTACCTGAAAACCAGGCTTCCACTCCAGCTCCCTCAGTCGGTCCAGACTTCCTCTCATCAGACCCGGAGCCGCAATTTGAACTGAAAGGATTAGACATGCCTTTTGCACCATCTCTTACTTCAAACACAACTATCTGTGATGTTTATAACTCAGACAAACTAAACTTTCCGTAAACAGTATGCTGAAAATTCAGGTAGAGTTTATTATTGTTTCCATTTTCATCTTTGCAAAGCCATACACGGACAGGAAAAGGACCATGCAGACAGATGTTAATCGCACTGTGTTGATGCATGATCCGTTTTTTTTATCTTTCACACAAAGATGTGCTGTTGTAAAATGTGTGGATTCCAAATATATTTTTTCAGTTAACAAGATTGCTTGTAAGTTTGTAAGTTCATGTCTTGCAAACAGTTTGGTTCTGGAAAGCTTTGGAATTTTTAATTTTTTTCCTAAATTTTCCTCAGGTATGAGAACATAAATCTCACTCAGTGTTGTCCTCCAAATATTCTGTTACAGCAGCTTAAGTGTGAATTACAGGAATCAGGGTTTTATTAAATTGTGCAATATAAACGCATTTACAATAAATTAGAATTGTTACTTGCATGAAATAGTGTCTGCTTTGCTTCTCTTCACAGGCTATTTATGGATATTTATGGAATGACAGATAATGTAGTCCAGTATCTTGGCAAAGTGTGTAATAGATACGGTGGACCAACGTGCCTATTACATGCTTTGCCGTGATATCAGGCTGGATAATGTTGCTAGCTTTTGCTTCCATGGGTATTTTCTACCTCTGTTATGTGCATCCAGCTCCATACATCACTTGTTTGTAGCTTTTATCATTGTGTTTTGAGGGATGGTGGGCAATTTTTAAATATGCCTTTTTATATTGTCAAATTCTCAAATGCAATACAAGTATAACTGGTTCTGTATATCTTTAAACAGAAGCTTGTATAAAAGTTTTATCAGGCATTGAAAAACATGTATCGTTTATATAATGTATGTAAAATTCTGATAGTTGTTTGCATTGCATGAAGATGTCTGAATATGGAATTAGTGTAATGATTTGAAAAAGACCTTAAAGAGCTTACATGAATTTTTCAACTCTGTCCCTCTGTCTCGCTCCCTCTTTCTGTCTCACTCTCTCTCTAACACACACACACACATGCACACGCACACGTGTGGGGACACAGTGGAATAACAACACCACTACTTCTTACATTTTAAAAAATCTAAATGGAAGAGCCCCTTAAAATTTGCATGGAAACTAGAGGGTTAGATTTTCAACATTACAATTAGCGTTACAGTTGTAATAGCTTCTAATGCAACTGTAACTCATTTAATTATAAGAGCATTTGTATGTTGACAGACATTTAAAAAAGCTGGTTTTGGAGAGTTTGCTACTATGCAGCTCTTATAGCAAGTTGATGTGCAGATGTTAATTCCTGCATGGATGTTCCTTTGCCTACATGCATGTAGTTTAAGTAATTGCATGGTGTTATCATATTTCGTAGATAAATATAACTTGGTGTCATCTGCATAGCAATGAAAATGCATGTGTTTTGTAATAATATTGCATGAGGGGAAACATATAATGTAAAAAGTATTGGTTCTAGGACAGAACTCTGTGGAACTCCATGAAAAATTCTCTAACTTACATTAATAATACCTGTCTACCTGTTCATTCCTGGTCCATTCCTGGTATAAAGCCTGAGAATAATTGCTATGGCATGGGATTAAACTTTTCATCTGATTTTATATGTGTATATATATAT